CATTTTTTTAAAGCACAGCACAAATCATATGGCATTACATGAATGAACAAACCCACCCCCTTTATCATAAATAAAACAAATACCAGCCTTAGACAGACCTATCCTCCCTGTCAAGCAAAATTCTGAGAGAAGGAATGGGTCTGTCTGTTCGCCTATCTATGGTACTTACATGGCCCCCATCACTGTGGTGTTCATATGCCTTAATATGTGGCATATTTACCCTTACATCACCCCTGTTTCTTAGATGCTAAAAAAATTGTATTATCCTCATTTTAGAGATGGGGAAGCGGGGGCACAAAGACATCAAGGCCCAGATCCACAAAGGAATTTAGCCATTTCATTCCCATTAAAGTATCTGGGCCTAAGTGACTTGTCTAAGGTAACACAGGAAGTCTGTGGAAGAGCCAGTAATTGAAGCTGGGTCTCCCCAGAGGGAACCTTAACCTATGGGCCTAACTTGCTGCCCATCGTGTGCCAACAATCATCAGACTTGGAGGAAGTGAATATCAGAATGAGCCTTCCACTGAAATAGCTGCACTCTCAAGACTGAGCTGAACTGAAACTTTTGTGTTCATCTGCAAATGACAGTGGTGAAGGGGGAGAAAGGCAGTCTCAGATAGCCAGGCATAAGCTTGTCAGAGTTCAGTGCTTTGAATTGTATCTGGAAGTGAAGAGGGAGCTGATGCTATCAACAGAGGACTGATCTAATACATTCCCAAAAGCTAATCCTGCCATGTAAACAGGCAGGGAATAGCAACCCAAGTGACACATCAGTCTCTAGGTAGACTGATGAAGAAGAACCTTGCAGTGATCCTTTCTAAAGCAAATTTCTTGAAGATCTGCTCTACACAGCCAAATGTTATGGGGCTTGATGCTGAGATCACAAGGCTATTGCCCTTGCTATTTGGGGGTGGGGGAGGTCAGACTAGACCAGCATAGTCAATTACTTTTTATCAAGGTTCAAATGTTTTGCTTAAGGCCAAATTTCTTGATCAAGGGATAGTCAAGGTCCAGTCTTCAGAATAACATTGTTTCAAACTGCAATAACAATATGTAAATAAAAAGATGTCATGGTCTCTTCAGCTAAGTCTACACTGCACAGTTATTTCAGAATAAGCTATTCTGGAATAGTTATTCTGAAATAGCTTATTTCGAAACTGCATGTCTACACTGCAGGGAAGCCTCAAAATTAGTCCGAGGCAGGCTTCCCTAATGTAGACGTGCTCTCTTGATATAGATCCCCAGGACAAATAACTTAGAATGGGCCTGGTGAGAGGCTATTTCGAAATAGCAGAACTGGAGCATCTACACACGCCTTATTTCAAAATAGCTATTTTGGAGTAGGCGTTATTCTTCGTAGAATGACGTTTATGGATTTCAGAATAAGCCATCCATTATTTTGAAATTATTTCGAAATAATGGAATTGCTGTGTAGACACTTGCATAGTTATTTCAGAATAATGGCCATTAATTTGAAATAACTTTTCTGTGTAGACACATCCTTCAAAATCATCCAGTGACAGACTCGGCTTGCGGTCCACCTAGTGAATGCTCTGGATTAGATTCCCTTCTGGCCTTAAAACCTATGAATGTAAAAGTCACAGAAGCATGGGTAAAGGTGCCAAGGTGCAGATCCAAGGGAAATGGTCATCACTGCTTTACCAGATGAAGATGATTAAAGATGCTTTTGATCAACAAATCCAGCAGAAAACCAGTAGCAGATGGGGAATCCTAGAGCACCCCAAATAGCAACTCTCTAGGACAAAGAAGGGGAAAATATCTTACCGGAGGGTGACACACTATCCTCACACAATGTCCTCACTATGCCAACATCATTTCCTGGGAACTCCATCTCAGTGCAGCTCTGATAATATGAACCACTACTCCAAGCATACACAGAATCACGAGGCCTTATCTAGACCAAGGATTTGCCCTAATTACAGCAATTGATATAGTAATGGCTGTGCCACTGCAAATAGCCATGTTATGCTCCACTGCAGTAAAAAGCTGTTTTGCCTACTTACCCCCTAGGGCTTGTACCAGTGTAACTACCACAATGCCTTTCTTTATTCAGGGAACCTCTCAGACTAGTCTATGCCTTAGTAAGCTTCTATTCAGTAGGTTCATCCCCTCAGACTCAATAGCAGTGGAAATGCACACATGGAAAGATTCAAGTATTTGCCGTAGAACCTACTATACAGGCCATGGGATATCTGTTAGTCAACACGTACAGTATGGTTGCGTTATGATGCAAGTATCCAGAAAGTCTAAGATCAAAGCAGCAAGATAATGCTGGAACATTGCCTCTACTTTGCAGCAAGATCTCTGTCCTGAACGGAAATGACTTTCTGAAGAGAAAAATCTGTTTTGCACTCAGTACTTTTCAAATCCCACCAATATCATACATTTTATTCCTTATGCCCAATAGTTCTTTGAAGGCTGTGGGGAGAAGACAAATAGAAGTTTTGTTGTAAACGGACCTCAGTTAACACTCCAGCCTCCCAGGGAAGTGATCTGTTATTAAGCAATTCTGATGTAACTAATTATTTCAGTTGCTGTTGCCTTATAAGGTGTCCAGAACATGATGTACCATCTGAGCAACATCTCCAGGCATCCCCGCTTTGGCAATAAGCCACCTCTGATCTTGATGCCAGTCCTGCCCTCACTTGGCCAGTTTTAGCCCTATTGTGAATTGAGACCAAGAAATGAATTTGATTAGCACTTGAGAATGATCAGGCTGGCAAGTGATGATTGATAGGGCTGATAGTAATAGTAAGATAATGACAATAAATTGTCCTTCTTTAGTGTTCATTTGAGGATGACAAATATTAATTTGTTAAGGCACACAACAATCCAGCGAGGTTCATGAGGAATATATAAGGATCACTTCATGCACCATTGAAATGTACTCACTGTTGGGGAAATGGAGCAGCTGTTTAACAGCATAATGCAGAACAAATTTAGGTTAAGAACTGCAGAGCACATTAATTAATTCAACCTTTGGGGGAATTTAGGGAGACAGAAAGTAATTACCTGAGTTAAAATTTGTCTAGCACACTGAGAAATAATCCTATTCTTGCAGAAAGTACAATGGCGTCTTTCATCACCATAAATGATTAATTATGAAAATTTTAATTAGTGACAAAAGCACCTCATGTGTTCGGTTGGTGCTTTTTGTATGATTATTATATAGCAACATAAGTAAATGGCCAGGAACTCACTTTTCTTTTCCATTGGAACCATAATGTTGCGTATTTCACACTTATGAGGTAGATCCGTGGATGGTTCAAATCCAGATAGCTCAATTGGCTTCCCAGGGTGAATTCCACCAGCTGAGGCTCTGTCCCATGTATGTTTCCAATTTGCTTATAAAGTCTTAGTGTTATTTTAAAGGACGGACTACTAGTCTCTTGGGTATTTCTACATTGCATTGCTTATTTCAAAATAAGCTATTCTGGAAGAAATACTCCGAAATAGCTTATTTTGAAACAGCACGTCTACGCTACAGGGAAGCCTCAAAATTAGTCTGAGGCAGGCTTCCCTAACGTGGACGTGCTATCTCAATTTAAAGCTCCAGGAGGCACTGGGGAGGAATAACTTAGAATGGCCCTGGTGAGGGACTATTTCAAAATAGCAGCAGTGGAGCATCTACACTTGCCTTATTTCAAAATAGCTATTTCGGAATAGACGTTATTCCTCATAGAATGACATTTATAGATTTCGGAATAAGCGGTCCATTATTTTGAAATTATTTCAAAATAACGGAATGGCTGTGTAGAGACTCGCATTGTTATTTTGAAAATAACATTCGTTATCTCAAAATAACAGTGCATTAGAGATGCACCCTTAGGCTACATCTAGACTACAAGCCTGTTTCGAAAGGGGCTTTTTTGAAAGATACTTTCGAAAAAGCCTCTTTCGAAAAAAAGCATCTAAACTACAACCAGTACTTTCAAAAAAGCCCAGTTGCATTACATAGCACCTTTTTTCGAAAGAGCACTTTTGAAAAAAGGCGTTCTTCCTTGTAAAACAAGGTTTTCCGCGGTCAAAAAAACTGCCATGTTCTTTTGATTTACTTTCAAAAGAATGTGGCAGCAGTCTAGACGCAGGGGAATTTTTTCAAAAAAAGGCCACTTTTTTCGTAAAAACTCTGTAGTCTAGACAGATCCTTAGAGGGTTTAAGTAAAGTGATTAGGAAGTTATCATCTGATGATTACTTGATGGCCTATTAGTCTTGAGCTATCAATCCAGTAGCTAATGAACACAGATCCTTTCAAATACTCTTCCAATATGTGGCACTATTTGACACCTTTGTTAACAATGTTATTAAACTAATTTTCATACAGACTGTCCCCAGTTTAAATAAAGAAGGATTTAAATAGTACCAACTTGTGCTTAGAGTCTCCTACTAGAGTGGTTTGTTTTGATTTAACATTATCTGGTTAAAATGTAAATGAAATAAGCCATTCTTTAGCCAAAGGAAGAGTACATGCACATTAACACTAGTTCAACTAAATCAGTTTAAAAACTAATGTGAGTTACACCAGTATAAATTATGTGTAGACAAGACCAGCTGACTTGGTATAAAGGCTAATGTACCAATTCTACCTTAGTTCTTCCAGGTCAAGGAATACTAGTGAAACTTCATGCTGTATCTAGTCTATGGATACCTCTGATCTACATTTCTTTGGGAACATAGCAGTTCAACAGCTCCAGATTTGGCTCTAAATGAACTTGAAGATTTAAAAAAACAATAGTTTTGTACATCAGAAAGGTTAATGATAGAAAGCCCAGCAGTGTGGCATGATCTGGAGCCGCCAGGTATAAGATGGTCCTTGGTCTCACTTTGCAGGATGAATGGCTAAAATCTAAAATAAGCTAAAACGAGTTTGCTTTCCAGGCAAAGTTAAAACCTTGTTCCCAGAAAAAGAAAAAGAGTGAGAGAGAGAGCGATTTGCTCAAGGTCAGCACCAGAACAAACGAAGAGTGTTCTACAGTACCTGTGAGCTGACTCTGGTTGTATTCTTCATCTGGAGTTGCTCTATCATCCTTGCTCCTCTTCAGCGGTGAAGATCGTCTCTTCATTGCTGAATTCCATGTCAAATGGTAAGCTCTCATCATGATCTGGACTTTTCTTTATGCATATTCAAATAAAGGGATAGATCTGTGACAATTTCAAACATCCTTTCCACCAGCCTCCATTCACATTGTGGAAGAAAACATTGTCCTCACTCTGTGTTTGTAAGCAACAAGTAGCCAGAGGCAGTTTTATTACGAGCTGCAGCAAGGGAAAAACTGGTTCGGACGGGGGGGAAGCTCTCCCCCCTCCGAGACAGATCTTCTAATACAAGCAATTATGAAGCAGTTTATATACTGTCCATTAGATATAATAACAATAACAATTAGTCTCCTTCCCATTACAAACACCAATGGCTAACAGTTATTTAGTTCCACCCAGATACTCCTTATCTCAAGGTCCCTGCCAGAGTCAGCATTCTATCCCTATCTCTGTATAGAGGAGAGAGGCAAAGGCAGTTTCTAATTACAGATCTCGCGTTGACAGGCCACAGACTTAGCCTGACTCTTGCTCTCTTGTTAACAAGACCAAGATGGCTGCACACAAATTCCCTTATTCCCTTTTCCTGCCTCCACAACATGCTAGCAAGTAACTACTGTAAATGGCTTGAGACCAGAGATAAACCAAAACCACATAGGTTCAGCGTGTGTGTCTCTGTGTGTGTGAGAGAGGGTGAGGGTGGAATTTGGTTTCCATCCCTACTGGAGATTGAGAGAGCCATATCCCTGTACAGGAAATTTTGAGCTGGGATATATCAGAGGCTTGTAGTTTTAGAAAGTTGGAATATGCCTTTAAGCTTCACTAGGGCATCTTATTTTTGTACTTAAACTTACTCCATCTGCACAAGCCAATTCCTCTCATTACACATGCTGGCATTTGCCATACCAAAGCTAGTTCCTCCTAATTTTCCTAAGCACAGGAGCAGAACCTGATAACAATTAAATGATTATGTCTGAATTGCCAAGGCTACTGAGAAATAGTGTTGGACAGTCACACATTGTGAATTCTAGCAAAGCTATTAAATGATCTCTTGTTAGAGGGCTGCTATCTGTTGAATGCTTGACATTAATAGGAATTTTGGGCTTTTGTTAATGACTTCTACTACATTTCATTTTTAACACAAATGGATGCCCCATTCATTACTTCAGATCTCAAATGTACATTTACTGGACCAAAGCTTTTAAATAATCATTTAAGCTTTGATCCAGTAAACATTTCCCTGGGACATAAGCATTAAAGCTGAGGACACTGTCCTAAATTGTTTCAGTAGTTCAGGGCGGGAGAGAGGGGGGGCAGCTGTTTACACAACTCATCACAGAAAGTTGATCTTGTTTCCTCTGCAGCCAGCCGGGGACTTGCCTGACCCTGAACATTCCAATGAAGAGGAATTTGGATTGTAGCCAAAGGAAATAAGAAGGTGATTGGCATGGAGATGTAGTTCCTTTGAGGTTTTATAGAGGATGGTATCAGTCTAAACAAAGAAATGCTCTTCTCTATACAAAAGTCCTGCTTTCCTGAATGACTAAGCATTTTCTCCCCAACAAACACCTCTGATAGGCAAATTACATTTCCTATGATTCACTCCACATGGAAAAATATATGATTTATCTATGGTATGTTGGAAATATTGGGCCCGATTATGATGGCATAATGTAGGAACAATTTGACACGATGATTGCACTTGTTTAGTCCAGGACTGAATTTATTCTGCTGTCTCAGGAAATGATATTGCTGACAATGTTCCAGACCAAACAGTCTTGATACATATTCCCTTTACTAGACTGAAGTTAAGATAGAACAAAATCCATCATAAAATTCCTATGGAAAAATTAGAATGTAGAAAATTAAACTTAAAAATAAAACCCAAACCTTACAAGATAGGAAAATGCTTAGTTAAGATACCCAAACAACCTTATTTTTTACCACAATCTCTCATTGTCCAGTCAGTGTGTATGCTTTTCTTAGTCTTTGTAAGGAGAAGTGAGTGAGTACTGCAAGAAGGGATCCATGGATAAATGTAGCAAGTTTACTTTGCAGTTATCTTGGGGGTCATATTATGTCATTTGTGGGGGTGAGGTAGAGGCAAGGCCAGATAGCACATTCCTCATACTGGCTCAGAAACCTGGCAAGTGGGGAAGCAGGCAGGCCCTTCCATGCACCAAAGAGGAGGAGGAGGCAGGGATTTTGCATTCACCAGTACAATCCCTCTTGCAGCATCTTTTGGCAGGAAAGAGGGAGGAAGCAAGAACCTACAAAATTTCTAGGGAATAACAGTTATAGGGAACCCTGGCCCAGAATAGCTAATCCCTAGCCTATACTCATGCTCTGTGCACATCTCCAAGAGCAATTCACCTTCTCTTTTGGCCATAGTCTGAACTGCTCACAAGGTGACAGCATCCTCTTTCCAACAGAGGTAACCACAAAGTGCTTTATAAGCTGAACACAAGTGTCAGGAGCTGTGATATAAGAGACCATCCCAATTATCTGTGGTGTGTCCCTAAGAGATGCTCAGGGAGAGGACAACACTGCATAATTATGAAGAGTGCAGTGTTAGTGTTTTTCTCTCAGCATCTTTTACAAACACATGCCTGTGAGAGGCCCTGAAAAAGCCTGAGGCACCCACTGTGCATTGGTGGCTCAGTGGCTTCCTAGGGGCCTGTGATAGATGTCCTAGCATGCAAGTCTACCCTGTACTCAGGTATCAAGTCCATCAACATCTCTTGGCACAAAGGAGGGCAATTTACATTGCTGGATTTAAACACACACTGGAAGCTCTTCAGTCTTCTGGAAAGCGTCTCCTTGATGTGGCAATAAGACAGCTGATGCTTATGATACCAGAGTAGAGTACAGCTGCACTGGCCTCATGCAAGGTCCCTGCTGAAGAGATGCGCAAATCACAAAGGTTGAGCTCACCTGCTGGATACAATCAGCATGTAGATTTAGCAGAGCAGTCGGCAGTCAATAGGGTTGAGCTGAAAGATCCCAAGAGTGACTAAGCAAAGATTACAAGGGGAGACACGTTGTTGTGCCAGAGATTAGTTATATAAGGAATGCTCATTAGAAAATGTTGCTGAGAGGAAGGCCTTGATTTATTAGAAGACTCAGGGGGATTCAGTGCAAAACATGACAGAGCCTCACGTCATGAAAATCAGAGTCACTCCATTGAGGTCAATGGATCTGTGAGAGTTTATATGCACTAAGGCACCAGCCCCTGGTTTTGAAAGTGCATTTTTTGCATAAGCTATTATTGAAGCATCTGCTAAGAATTGCACAGTATGCATTTCAGGAGCAATTGTGTTAAACCTTGCTGCCTGTGGCTACTAGCACTCAAAAAAAATACTAGGCTGTGTAGCTATGCGATGCTCCATTTACATCTTTAAATCGAGGAAATGAGTCACCAGTGTCTTAAAGTCCAGCCATAAAGAAACTCATAAGTAGCTTTAGGAAATATAAAAGAGGGAAAAAAGACAGCTGTGTCCACAGACAAAAGCAGCATTGGATGTCTATGGAGAATGCTGAGATTCGAAATGATCTAGGCTACGTTACTAAGTAAAAGCACCAAGGTAGCAAATATACAGCAGGTGGCAAAGATCACAATGTATCCTACTCCGAGAAGCCCCCACAACACAGCACAGTTACCATGGAAAAAGGAAACTATTTTAGCTTCTAGTGAGGTAGAAAAGCAAATGCTAGGGAAGGGCAGATACAGTAATTCTATTGTGGCTTTTGCAGCTCTAGAAAGTGAGTTCAGGTTTAGACCAGCAAATTTTGCCTCTTAGCTCATAGGCAACATTTCAAGAAGAAAAGTGAGGACATGCTCCTCTTTCATAACAAATGTAAACTAGCTGGATACTGACCTTTAAGGATTCTCATTGGGACAGCTTTCATTCCAATATGTTTTCAGTTAAATGGTGCTGAGCAGCTAGCAGAAACTTATACAACTGATATATATATTTTACTATTGCTGTGGATCCTTCCAATTTATGCTGTTGGTTATTTTCTCTTATGCTTCGTCAGATCCCTATGTTTCTCCCTCCTCTCTGTTCTATTATTTCAAATATCTCTCAGCTATAGTGTTCTCCCACTACATTTCCTGCTCTCATTTTGTCTATAAGACTCCAATACCAATTCCGTCCTCACTGTATAACCAAATTAATGGAAGGGGTTTCCCAAAGGAGGACAGAATTTACTCCAAAGTGTTTCCTAACTTGTGGTTTGCCCACTAGTGCCAGACCCTGGAGCAGACTCAATCAATGAGTGGAATCCCACATTCAAGTGACTAAACTCCCTGGTGTGCATATCATATTTTACCAGGGCAAAGTCTCAGTCTAGGACTCCTGTGGTTTATGCCACATAATCCTAAAGGGAAATGTCACATGCTCTTTCTCACACATGCACAGTATTCCTCCAGCTTCATACTTGACATTTCAAAGTTAGCCTGTGGCAGAAGCATGTTCAAATGTTGAGAACACTAGACTCAGATTAAAGAGAGAAGGGATCCTTTCCTGTTTTGTTTGTTTTTTGTTTTTTTACAGACTGCATGGATGACCTTGGACAAGTTACTTAAGCATGTCAGTTCCCTCATTTTGCAAAACAATATAATATTTCACTCATGAATGGGGTTTCTATGAAACGTTATTCTTTAATATTTGTAAAAGTGCTCTGAGATTCCCGACTGGCGGACATTATAGAAAGATGACTTGTAGGTCAGATTATGCCAGTTGTACTCAAGTTGAGAAGCACCTTACCCTGAGAATAGCTCAATTGATCTGAATGATACCATTCAAAGGCATTACTCAAAGGGAAGAAAGGTATCAGAATGTAGCCCTGTATTCCTTTGCTAAAAAGCATAACTTTCATTGTCACCTTCATCAGTTTTCAAAGTCCTTCGACCATGTCATCCTTTGACCTAAGTGACTGTATGTGTGTCAATAACATGGCACCAGGCTGAGAAGGAAGCAAGTGTTTTCCCCTGATACAGTTCTAGCACTCTAAAGCAATATTGCTTTGGCACTAAGTAGCTGAAAGTTTGAAATGTCTGTTCAACCTTCTGTGATTTTTCTCACAGATTACAGTAATTGGTCCCCTGTGAAACAAACGATTTAAAAAGCCATTGTTAATTTGTTCCAAAGTAAATGATTATCTAAAATATACACAGT